ACACACACACACACACACTAAAAAAAAAAAAGTTCATTCTTTTCTTTCCCTTCCTATTACTTCTGCCCTATTCAAGTCCTTTTCACATCAAAGCTGGCTTATAAATGACCTCTTTCCTAGTCTAAAACAACATTCTCCCACCCTATTATCCATCTCCATAAAAAAAGTCCTTCTCAACTTCAGGGGCTTGCGGGTTAGCTGAGTTGTTTAAGTGCCTGCCTGCTTGGGGAAACCCAGTCAGGAACAGCGGACCATGGTTTGATGCCCAGCTCCACATGCAGTACCAGACCCGCACTTAAGGCAGTCTGAGCCAGCCCACCTGCCTCCCCTGGCAAATTAACTGGAAGTGGGGGAGAGCCCGAGGGTGAGGTAATGGGGGTGGGTTAAGGCAAAGCCAGAGACAGGAAGATAGAAATTGCTGCTGTTGCTACTCTGTGTTGAGAGATAGAAAAAAGCAGATGCCACTGATGTGCCTCCACATCTGTCTTGGTTTCGCTGGCACATGGTCTCACTATGTAGTTCAGGTTAGCCTTGCACTTGCTATGTAGCCCAGGCTGCCATGGGGCCCCCCACAGGATCCTCCTGCCTCAGCCTCCTGAATGCATCGCCACCCTGCTGGCTGGCCTCCACATCTGGTTTATCTCTTATTTCCAAAAATATTTCTCACACTTGTCCTTAGGGAAATGCTGGCTTTGGCTGATAAGCACGTATGTACCAAGCAAGGTATATAAGTGACTCTTCAGGCTTTCTCTTCTTCCCCCTCCACCGATGAGCCAATCTCTTCCTCCCCTCATTAGACCCAGCTCATCAGCTGCTGCACACACAGATGTTTATTGCCCCCTCACGTCCTTGATGATAAGGAGGCAGGGTCAGGTGATTAGTAGGCTAAGACCAGGCTCCTGCTTACTTGCTAGTCTTCTTATCATAGGTGCCAGCACCCTTGTAGCCGCTCACGTAGCCTGAGTTGTCAGCTTTGTCTTCCCGTCCGGCGATGCCCTTGCCCTTGCCACTCTCGTCAAAGCGCTCCTTGTGGCTGCCCGTGTACTTGCTGGTGTCTGTCAGACGGTCCACCGCACCCGCTGTGGTTGCTTTCTGCATGCCAGAGAGGAAGCCCTTTCAGCCCTTCCCCAAAGACGGCCTTAGGCCCTCAGGTTGTGCCCAGAGGCCCTGCTCCGCCTCAGCCTGGTGCTGCCTTCCTGGGGCTGGATGCAGCAGAGGGCAGGCCCTCTGGCAAGAACCTTCCACTTGTGAGGGAGGGGGACTCCCGAGTGGGATCATGTGTGCTGTGTGGGGAGGGAGTTGGATGTCTTGACTTTGCTACCAAGGAATTTCCAACCCAAACCCAATACGCACGGTGGAAAGACCTTTCTGTATAAGGGGGCAATTAAGCAGAAGAGGGGTGAGGAGCAAGAGGTCTTAGATTAAATCTAAAGAAGAGCAGAGGAGGCCTGGGGGTAGTTAAGATACCAGGTCTATGCTGATGTCACCCAAGCTCACCAAGCTTTAGTCACCTGGCTCAGATACTGGGGACTTGGGAATAAGTTTCAGTTCTATCAAAATAGCTACATTGGGGCCAGGGAGATGGCTCAGTGGAATAAGCGCTTCCCTGGCAAGCTCAAGGGCCTGAGTTCAAGCCCTGGTTCTGCAAACAAAACAAAACAAAACAAAATAGCTACATTACAGGCAGGGGTGCATCCCCGCATGTCCTTCTCAAACTACTGCGTACCTGGGTGAAGTGAGTGCCCCTTTCTGGGCTTTGTCCCTTCTGGATGACCTTGTGGTCTCTAAAGACTGTTCTGACACACACAGGCCTGCTGCCCCACCTCCTGTAGCTATGCTGTGGGCAGGGTTTGCAGCATTGGAAGAGGAGTAGGAGATGGAGCAGCAGGGACTTGGAGAAGTGGGGTCAAGAGCAGGGACGATGGACGGCACTCACAGTGACACCAGTGGTGGCTGGCTCCTTGCCCTCCATGAGCTTAAAAATTTCCTGCAGAGCTTCATCAGGGTTCTTCCCCTTGAACCGCATCTGGCCCAGTTCTTTCATGGCTTCCTGGAATTGCTGAAATGTGATGGTTCTGGCATTCTTGGCCCTGACCATTTAGAAATGCAGGCATTTGAGTCCTGGGCTCGCTGTCTCCCAAGGTGGTGCTTTCCCATCCTCTGGCTTGGCCTAGTCTGTCCTACCAGGGAACAGAGGACAGAGTACGCGACAAGCCAGGCACCCATAGATGCTTGGAAGGCCCACCCCCACCTGAGATGTCTTACTTCACTTTGCTGAACACGATGTCCACAGAATTCGAGGTGACCATCTTGCCATCCATGATGTTGCAGTCTTTACACAGCTTGGAGAAGTTCTTGTTGTTTATCTCAGCACCACTGCTTGCTGTGTCCCCGAAGGCAGCAAATCGATGGAATGTTTTCTCCGCTTCTGATGCCATGGTTAACTGGAAGTGGGGGAGAGCCCGAGGGTGAGGTAATGGGGGTGGGTTAAGGCAAAGCCAGAGACAGGAACAATTCCCTTCTTTCTTGTTGCTCTCTCCCTTCCGTCCCTCACTCCATTCCTTCTGCTGGAGCTACAGTGTACAATCCTTTCCCAGCACCAGGGATCCTAATGTTGAGTTCATATACTGAATGATTTCCCCTTCCCTACACTTCTGTTACCTAGGAGTGCCCGGAGGGTGCCTGGTCCTGTCCTGCCGTGTGTTTAAGGGGGTACAGCTATGCAGGAGCTGCCTGGCTGGGGAGGTTGTGTAGCAATGAGGAGACAGAAAGGGGCAGGGAGGAAAGCTCCCCCTGGACCTCAGCAGTGTTTGTGACATCACTTCTGACTCCAGCTATACCTTGTCTTCAAGGGAGGCCTTTAGAGCTTCCTCTCATACAGCACTGAGCAAGTTGGCCTCTTCAGATAACTCCCTCATTTCAATCCAATTTATCATTCTTGTGAGTTCTGGTCAAATTGTGTCATGCTCTGTCCAACAACAAAAGCTAAGGAAAGCCCAGGAAAAGATGTCAGGCAGATATAGCAAAATAAATGAAGTGGTTGGCAAACAGTAGAAATTCATTTCTCTTGGTTCTGGAGGCTGAGAGTTCTGTGTCAAGGTTTTGGTAAATGTGGTATCTGGTGAGGGTTGCTGTCTCACACATAACGAATTCTGTGTCCCGAATTCTAACTTTTGCTCCTGGGCAAAGGGGCAAAAGAGCTTCTTTGGGCCTGCCCACACTCTTCCTGAAGCTTCCGTCCTCAGGCAACCTCTTCATGAGTCCCCCAAAATCCCAACTCCTCATAACTTCACTTTGGGAGTTAGGGTTATAAAATGTGAGCTTGCAGGGGGTGGGGCATACAAACACTCGGACCATGGCTGCTGGGGTAAATGGAAACAGGCCAGCTTCTTTCCACTGCCCTTCTGCCTTGTCTCCAGGCTCAGGTTCAGTCACCAGATGGAGAATCTCACTGGCTTGGCTGATAGACTTCAAGGGGATTTTAAAGAGCTTCCTGTGTGAGACGCAATAGGGAAAGCAGGGCTCTGACCAGCACAGGTGGTGTGGGTCCATGTGAAGTGGCTGAGTGAGGTGGGCCTCTGACTGAAAACTCCCCAGAGAAGCATCTGTGCAGGTCATAAAACTTCTTCACGGGCTTCTCTGGCCCTTTCCCCCACCCTGGTGAGATAGGGATCCTAGAAACAGAACAACTAGTTTGGTGACTTCCTTCCCCATTTCATTTAATTAGTCACCC